CCCCCCAGCCGGGTCCGGACCGGCCGCAGCAGCAGAGGGCGGAGCAGGAGGCGGAGCTGTCCCGGCGGAACTTTGCGGATTTGGGGCTGTCCTGGCACTGAGCGATGAACACCTGGAGCTGAGACGGGGGAGGGGCCGCCTCCGACTGGCTCTGGGGACAGGGGAGGGACAGGGATGACGTCACATCCGGGTGATGTCACACCCAGGTGATGTCACACCCTGGTGATGCCACACCCAGGTGACATCACACCCAGGTGAGATAACACATAGATGATGTCACACCCAAATGACATCACACCTGAGTGACATCACACCCAGATGACGTCACACCCTGGTGAGGCCCCACCCAGGTGAGGTCACACCAGGTGATGTCACACCCAAATGACATCACACCCAGGTGACATCACACACAGGTGACATCACACCCAGGTGATGCCACGCCCAGATGATGTCACACCCAGGTGATGTCACACCCAGGTGACGCCACGCCCAGATGATGTCACACCCAGGTGACATCACGCCCAGGTGAGGTCCCAGCCAGATGACATCACACCCAGGTGACATCACACCCAGGTGATGTCACACCCAAATGACATCACACTCAGGTGGCACCACACACAGGTGATGTCACACCCAGATGATGTCACGCCCAGGTGAGGCCCCAGATGACATCACACCCAGATGACATCACACACAGGTGACATCACACCCAGGTGAGGCCCCACCCAGGTGTGATGTCACACCCAGATGATGTCACGCCCAGGTGAGGCCCCAGATGACATCACACCCAGATGACATCACACACAGCTGACATCACACCCAGATGACATCACACCCAGATGACGTCACACACAGGTGACATCACACCCAGGTGAGGCCCTGCCCAGGGGAGGCCCCACCCAGGTGACATCACACCCCGGTGAGGCCCTGCCCAGATGACGTCACACCCAGGTGACATCACACCCAGGTGAGGCCCCACCCAGGTGAGGTCACACCCAGATGACGTCACACACAGGTGACATCACACCTAGGTGATGTCACACCCAGGTGACATCACACCCAGGTGAGGCCCCGCCCCAGTGACGTCACACCCAGGTGAGGCCCCGCCCCGGTGACGTCACACGCAGGTGTGCGCTCACCTTGATGGTGTCGTAGGAGCCGGTGATGAGGGCGATGAAGAGGCTGAGCACCATGTAGATGAAGAGCGCGCTGAAGGAGTACAGGTACACCTGGCTGAACAGCCACACCAGCGCCCCGCTGGGCCGCAGCGCCGCGAAGGTGGCAAACATGTCGTCACCATTGACCAGGGAAAAGAGACACTCCGACACCATGGACAGCGAGCGGAACTGTCAACGGGAACACCTCTGTGTCACCTGTGTGTCACACCTGTGTCACCTGTGTCACCTGTGTCACCTGTCACACCTGTGTCACCTGTCACACCTGTCACACCTGTGTCGTCACCATTGACCAGCGAGAACAGGCACTCCGACACCATGGACAGCGAGCGGAACTGCGGGGAGGGACACCTGTGTCACCTGCGTGTCACCTGTGTCACCTGTGTGTTACACCTGTCACACCTGTCACACCTGTCACACCTGTGTCGTCACCATTGACCAGAGAAAAGAGACACTCGGACACCATGGACAGCGAGCGGAACTGCGGGGAGGGACACCTGTGTCACCTGTCTGTCACCTGTGTGTCACCTGTCACACCTGTCACACCTGTGTCACCTGTGTCACCTGTGTGTCACCTGTCACACCTGTGTCACCTGTCACACATGTGTGTTATACCTGTCACACCTGTGTGTCACTTGTGTGTCACCTGTCACACCTGTGTGTCACCTGCGTGTTACACCTGTCACACCTGTGTGTTACACCTGTGTCACCTGTCACACCTGTGTCACCTGTCACACCTGTCACATCTGTCTCACCTGTGTCACCCCCACATCATCCATGGATTTAGGGAGGGATTGAACCCCAAAACAGAAATTTGGGACCCCAAAAGGGGAATTTGGGAATTCCCAACCCCAAAATGAGAATTTGGGACCCCAAAATGGGAATTTGGGACCCCAAAAAGGGAATTTAGGGACCCCAAGGGAATTTGGGACCCCAAAAGGAGAATTTGGGAATTCCCAACCCCAAAAAGGGAATTTGGGACGCCCACCCCCAAAAAGGGAATTTTGAGACCCCAGAAAGGGAATTTGGGACCCCAAAAGGGAATTTTGGGAATTTGGGGACCCCAAAAAGGGAATTTTGTGACCCCAAAAAGGGAATTTGGGAACTCCAAAAAGGGAATTTTGGGAATTTGGGACCCCAAAAAGGGAATTTGGGACCCCAAAAAGGGAATTTGGGAACCCCAAAACGGGAATTCCCGCCCCCAAAAGGGAATTTGGGACCCCAAGAAGGGAATTTTGGGAATTTGGGACCCCAAAAGGGAATTTTGGGAATTTTGGGACCCCAAAAGGGAATTTTGGGAATTTTGGGACCCCAAAAAGGGAATTTGGGACCCCAAAATGGGAATTTGGGAACTCCAAAAAGGGAATTTTGGGAATTTGGGGACCCCAAAAAGGGAATTTTGGGACCCCAAAAGGGGAATTTTGGGAATTTGGGACCCCAAAAGGGGAATTTTGGGAATTTGGGACCCCAAAAGGGAATTTTGGGAATTTTGGGACCCCAAAAAGGGAATTTGGGGACCCCAAAAGGGGAATTTTGGGAATTTGGGACCCCAAAAGGGGAATTTTGGGAATTTTGAGAATTTTGGGACCCCAAAAAGGGAATTTGGGACCCCAAAAGGGAATTTTGTGACCCCAAAAAGGGAATTTGGGAACTCCAAAAAGGGAATTTTGGGAATTTGGGGACCCCAAAAAGGAATTTTGGGCTGCCCACCTTGAGGTGGTGCGGGCCCAGCACGATCCAGCCGCAGAAGCAATATCCCAAATAAATCACGGCCACGCAGCAGCAGAAGCGCATCACGTTGGGCAGCGCCACGCGCAGCGTCACGATCAGGATCTGGGGGGAAAAACCGGGAAATCGGGAAAAACCGGGATTGGGGAGCGGCGGGGAGGGGAAAATGGGGAATTGGGGAGGGAAAATGGGGATTTGGGGAGGATTTGGGGTGGGAAAATGGGGATTTGGGAGCGGCGGGGAGGGGAAAAACGGGGATTGGGGTGGGAAAACGGG